GAGGTTTGAGGTCTAAGGAATGTGGAGGTGCACGTGGCCCATGCACAGGCTCCTTATGGTGGCCGGTATGCCCCTAATTCCATGTTTCATTTAATCCTTCAAGTTACGTAGTGTTTCAAAAATATTTCACATATTTAAAATGTTCAAGGTTTGTTTCAGAGGCTCCTGTTCTTTTTCAGGAAAAAAATTGTTGGTGCACTCCATCTAAGTAAACGGTTTGAAGATTTTAATTATTGCGTTTTAGTTTATTAAACTAGCTTCATAGATTAAAGTATACTATTTTAGAAGTCGGAGTTTAATTAAACTAATAAATCTTGTTAGCTGTCACATAGCTAATTAAATTTTTTAATTGGCCGTATTAAAATTTGACTTTGTTTTATTTAAATTCGGCATATCGGCCCATATAAATTATAATGTTACTGATACAGATCATACATCATAATGATGACCTGAACATGATTATTAAAGCTTGAAGTACCAGGCACAAAACGTGGAATTTGACTACCCGTCAATTTTAAGGAACTTCATATTGTGGTAGGTCATGTTGTGCAAGTCAAAAGTCCCTATCGATGTATGTTACTTTGAATACAAATAGTACAAAAACTGTTTCAGCAAAAATGAAGGAAATTGGAAAAATCGTTACAGAGAGAAATAAACAACTAGTGTACTAAAAAGACTAAGGATGAATTGTAAGACAGCCAATATTATATTACATCCGAATGTCAATGCCGAAAGATGAAAAGGAACACTTTTTGTAGGACAACTGTATAAGACAAGTGCTGTATCGATGTAGCAACAGTTTAGGTAAGACAACTGTGACAGATTTACTATTAAGCTTACTTGCTGATAAACTGGTTTTATGAAAATATTTCAGCTTCGTTTTTACGTATGAAAAGGAGGTACAATCGATTAAAAATAATAATACAACGAAAGTTAACACAATAAAATTATATACGTTTAGGCAATACTCAGCCAATCTGCTAAACTACATTTTTATGTATTTACCACCGTTCAAAAGTCTCTGGGCAGATGATGGTCGATGACAAAAAACTAAAAAAATGGTTCCAAGTAGATTGGCTCTATACCTCCTAAGCCTACGTTGGAAGCTTTAAAGGTAAAAGGGATAAGTTAAATCGTGTCAAAACGCGAAATCGATTTGTGATTAGTTAAAGCAAATCTACTATATTTCTGTTTCCATGGCCGATATAGGGAAAATATGTATTACTTATTATAGTATCACTGGGATCAGCAACTTCTTAATAATGATTTTTCACTGACATCACTTTCAAATTTTGAACCTCTTATCATTCATGATAAGTATTGATGTTGGCTAGCAGGTTGTCATCTATTTTAACACAAGCGATTATTTTAAAATGATACAATACAAACTGAGAATTTCCTTAGACATAAACACTTTTCTACATGAATCATGGGATTTCATTCCAAACATTAACCTGCTAATTCGCTTTTAGGCTCCTCTAATATTGTGAGATAAGTGGCTATATGCCAATACTTAACAGACTTCGACTAATCCTTTTGCGTTCAAAAAATATTTCATTTGTATAGTGTACTTAAGCTTGTGCAACATGATCAATATGTTCACAAAGGTTTAGTCTACTGTCAAAGTGCGTACCGAGAAGTTTGCAGGAATCAGTTACAGAAAGGTCATACATTTTTAGCTGAATCCTAATAGTACGTTGGATATTACAATAGTGTATCTCGAATAACAGGAAGCGCACTTTAGCGCTCATCCGGTATCGATAAATGACACATTCTTCCGAAGAGCCGTGCATTTCGGCTGGTCAGACTCAGATCACCCACTACTTGATCTGGCACGAACGCATCTCGTCAATAGCAATAGCTGCTGGGAAAAGGCTAGGCTATTTGTTTAGGGCTCTGCAGTACTTTTCTCCATATAACCTCCTCACCTTGTAGATCCAGATAAGATAAAGATGCGAGTACTGCTCACATGTTTGGAGTGCTGCTGCGCTGGCTACATTCTCCTTGCTTGATGCTGTTTAGAGGAGGGCTGTCCGATTGATCAATAATTCTTTCCCTCGAACCGGCTCGCGATTCTTTCGCACCGACAGGACGTCGGCGATCAACAGTTATGTCAAGGGGCTTTTCTCCTCAGAGCTCTCACCCATGATACCGCCGCGCGATGTCGCTGTTAGACAGACCCTCTTGACTTACCATCCTAACCGTGTCGAACTTCGTTACATCCAGAACTGTCCGATACGACCGCCCCTGAGTCCCTAGGGTTATTATATTATGGAACAATCTACCTGAGGAGGCTTTTCCCAATTCTACTAAGCTGAGGTAGTTCAAAGATTGAATTAAGAGAGTTTCTTTAAGCTCCTCATAGCAGCCGCAGTGCTCTGGTATTTAGGCTTCTGCATATGCGATAGCTTCGATGCCTGAACTATAAGAACCAACACTGAAATTTCACACGTGAAATCTGTGATTAAATAATCAACTACAATATTTAAAAATGGTTCCCGTGAGATGTCGCCAGTATGTCGTATTTTCCTCTGTTAGGGATTAGAAAATTTCAACAACTTATGGTTAGTTCGTACAGTAGCCGGTAACTTGTCTGTGACTGTCAAAATCAGAATCAGAGAGATGTTACCTGTTCGTACAGTTTCTGACTGTTTGCCGACAGCTAGTCCGGTGTTTGTACAGCATCTTCTGACAGGTCGGAGTACCCCAGTCAATAAGTCACAGTGGCAGGTATCAGAGTGTGTCGAAACTATCTTGAGGACTAATATTGCTTCGCAAAAGGCGATTACTATGAGCGATATATCAAGCAACAAATATTCAGGAATGTCAGAATTTTCTTCGGAAGATGAAGACTTTGAAGACCTATTGGAAGAGAGAATGAAACCCAAAAACCTGAGATTTGTAGAGGAAGCACTGCCACAAGTCAACAGCATCTAGTTTTTGGTTCATTTTCGGGTGAGCAGGGAAGTGGCAGAAGAAATATCAGAGAAATTCCGTGGCAGTAGCCATTTTAATTATCAGGTAGGGCCATATGGGAAGCTAACCCCGTATAAACAAACGCGTATATTTTTATGGTTTACTGGATATCAAACAGCCAGCTTCAGGGATGTGGCTGATAGGTTCAATGTTTCTGTGAGTTACCTGCATGCTGTTATAGCCAAAATGACCAACTTTCTGAGTAGTCTCGCACCGGAAATTATAAAATGGCCTATAGAACAACAAACAAATAGGACAAGGCAATATTTCTTGAATAAAAATGGATATACTGGAATCGTTGGTATTATTGATGGAACCCATATAAAGATTGACAAACGAGAGGATGATCCGTTATCATAGATCAATAGAAAAGGATACTACTCTATACAGGTTAGTGTAGTTATGAGTATGTACCTATGCACCAAGTAGAGTTACTGATCTCTTAATATATACAGTTTACCTAGAATTAGCTTAAAACAACGGTTGTGTATGGGTGATTATCATGAAAGGTGAAAATTTTGAGTACTCGCTAAAAAATATCATTTTATAAAAAAAAATCCAAGTGTTAATAATGGAGGTACATTTTTAAAGTTAAGGAATATTCATAACTAATAAGTGCATAGTCTTTAATATTTCTGTTTTTTTATTTATAACCAAAAAACGTATGAAAACCTCACCTCCGTGACTGTTCTCTTTTACCATTGCCATCACAAGGCTACATAAAAACTATTACTAAGGAAGAAATCTATAGAAGTTTTATCTTGAATCTCCAGAATTTGTTTTTGTAGAAGAGATATGAACAAAACTTTTCTTTTGGAATATCATGTAATTTACTGTTTGCGCATCAACCCCTGTTCTGGAAAGTAGGTATCACCTCCGTGACGTACTTTTTGATGCAGATTTCGGCTCACAGATGGCGAACTATTCAATTTCTGGCATTGTATCGCGTTACAGCAAACCACGACCTATTTCGTTCAGTCGATATTAGGGACTGAAAGTGATCAGATGGATTCTCTCTTTAGTTTAAGACTTGTTAACCACGTGGAACCTTTGTTGTTCTCACATCCGTGAATTTGTTTTTTTTTTTTGGTAAGTAAATAAGAAAAATGCGTAGTTTTAATATTGATAAGTGGCATAATATTCCCACTAGAGCTGGTTTGAAATTTCTTGTGCAAGACATTTTCACAACAAGTTATTAAAGAAAAATATGGTAATTCCTCACTTCCGTGAGCCTCACCTCCGTGAAGTTACCAGTTCACGGAGGTGAACCAAGTTTCACGGAGGTGAGACATTGTAATGGTTTAGTGAATTGAAGTAATATATGCACCGACATTTTCAGAAGATGGCTCGTTTAAAAGTACAGAACAAAAATACAAAAGCTCATCACGAAGCAAAGAAAAGAAGGCAGCGCGAAGCGAAGCTATGAGAAGGCTACGTGAATCAAGGCGACAGGATCCAGAGAAGTATGAAGAAGACAAGCGAAAAGAACGGGAACGGTATTACCGGAGAAAAGAAGCTGGCCAAATTAAAACCATTGACCAAATGTCAGAAAGAGAAAAACGGAATCAAAGGAAAGAGTGGCGGAATAGAAGTAAAAAACACTATCTTGGAAAGAAAAATGCAAAGGAGCTCGAGCTTAAATTACAAGAAAACTCACCACCTGCCACTCCAATCCCGGAAGAACTAATGGCTGAAGCACTATTGATGAAATACTTCAAGAAAGGATGATGGAAGAAAGAGGCAAGGCAGGTCACGAAGAAGAAAACACGTAAAGCTCTAAGAAAAGAAATAGATTTGTTAAAAGTCGAACTGGAAAAAGAGAAAAGAAAGAAGGAAAATATAGAATGAGACTAAAAAGATTAAAAAAGCGACTGCACAAAAACATAGGTTCGCCTGAAAAAAAAAGTGGAAGCACTAATCAAGGGACAAACTGTTTCTCCTGCTGTTAAGAAAAAACTGTTATTTTCAGAAGTTATAGCGAAACAGTTACCAGAAAATTATCGGGTTCTTACAAATCCTGCACAGAAAAGCACATTTTGGAAAAATATTTCTGGAAATGTTGTAAAAAAGTACAAACAAATAAGCTATTTGAAAAGAACTGCGTCTGTATTTACATTCTCAAAAGATAAATCTGAAACGAGATTAGTAAATCAGGAATTCATCAGGCAACAAATAAAAAATCCTGGAAAAAGATGACTGCAGTACGCTCTGCCCTGGCAAAACGATTATGTTATAAGAAAACATGATAAGAGGCAGAAACGATTACTAAATGATACACTCAGAAATCTACATAGACGATTTATAAAAGAAAATAAGTTTCTAATTAGCTACACAACCTTCTGTCGATTAGGCCCATTCTGGATTATACAGCCAAAAATAGAAGAACGAAATACCTGCCTTTGTATGATCCACGCGAATATGTGGTTGCTCGTTAGAAGGCTGAAAATCGCAAATATTATAAAAGAGAATTCTCCTGAAGAAGTATGTAGAGCCATTTGTTGCGAAGGGGAAGTACTGAAAGAAATATGTTTAGAAAGAAAATGCGAAAGTTGTAAGAAGAAAACAGTAGTTACAGCTAATTTCATAGATCGGACACCATAGTTCATGAGAGATGGGTTATAAAGCGGGTTACAATAGTAGTGAAAGGAAAAGAAAAGTTGTGTACAAAAACTTTTAAGGAGAAGCTTACGTCTACTAAGGGTGAGGTTCTTCAAGCATTCCTTAATTCATTGCAGCCTCTTTTGCATATAAAAAATTTAGAACACCAGATGAGAGAAATTCGAAGATCAAAGAAAATATGGATAATACAGAAGTTCTAATACATATGGATTTCTCCGAAAATTATGGATGTAAATATGCTGAAGAAGTCCAGTCAGCCCACTTGGGGGCTCAAAAATGCAGTTGAGCTTGCACACGGTAGTTGTGTATTATAGAAGCTCTAACAATACTATGCAAAAAAATGTTTCTGTACAGTATCCAAAAATTGCGGCATGACCCTGAGGCATTTGCGCCCATCTACTTCCCGTTTTTAAAAAACTCAAAACCTTTGTAGGCAATTTGAAATGCGTTCATTTTGTAAGTGACGGACCCTCAACCCAATATCGTAACAGAAAGATGTTCAATTTGATGGCAAGCTTCATTACGAACGAGTTAAATGTAGAAAAGTTACGGTGGCATTATAGTGAGAAAGGTCATGGCAAGGGAGCTCCAGATGGAGTAGGGGAGTCTTAAAGCGCACAGCTGATGCTATGGTGGCTCGAGGAATGGACATATCTAACCTACAATCTTTTTTGTTCCATTTGAAAGCAAACTGTAAAGGTCTCATTCTCTCTGAAGTTCAGATAGATGATGCAGAGCTTGACAAAATTGAAAAGACGATACCTAAAATACTGCCACCGTATACCGGAATTTTACAGTGCCATGAGGTTGTTTGGGTGAAACCACATACGTTCCTAGATATTCGAAAGCTCACCTGTCTCAGCTGCTCTCCATCCAAAGTTTGTTCTCATTATTCCTTGGGAACTTACCAATTGCAGCAAAGTATCCTTTTTTATCAAATTATTTTGGCATTTTCAAATATTTTCTAATTCCTCATTTTTCCTTAACTGATTATTAGCACATAAAAGAAGACTGATATACTCTGAGATTTATTCATCATCGTCGGAGGATGAAGACGACAATATACCTTTAGCTATGCTTTTAAACTGAAATAATTATGCTCTTTTACATTTATATAATCGTTTTTTCGAATAAAGGACTAAATATAAACCAATTTAACATGAGTTTGCAATTATATGAAGTAGCTTTCACATCCGTGAGAGGTGATCACCTCCGTGAAATATATTTTTTCGAAATCCTCATAATTTCAAAAACCAATAGGTAAACTGTTTGACCTTATACCTAATCAAATATATCTTATGATGTTTCTCCGCGAAATTGCAACAGATATTGGAAAAACTCGATTTTTTTTTCTGAACAAAATTAGATCGATTTAATCACCTTTCATGATAATCACCCGTATTTAACTTCGACCATATACTAAGTGACATATAAATCCGAACACCCAGTTTAAACGGTTTTATTTTAATAAAATTTTGTATAAGTACTTAATGAAGCATAATAAGTAAATGATAAAAATTTCAAAATGATTGCACTGCTTTAAAGCACTTTGACCTTTAATAATGTGTGGATGCACCCTGATGTGCTACGCATTCTCCAACGCGCCTAGGCATGCTTCTGATCAGGTGGTCAATGTCCTCCTGTGGTATCTCATTCCGAAGTGCTTCTAGAGTCTGAGGAGGACGTTGCAAATTGAGCAATCTCCTACCCATCATATCCCACACATGCTCAATTGGAGATAAGTCGGGAGATCTTGGTGGCCATGGTAACAATGTGACATCATTATGTTGAAAGAAGTCTATTGTGACTCTTGCAACATGTGGTCGGGCATTATCTTGTTGGAAAGTTGGATCTGCCAGGGTGTCAAGAGAGGGTAAAAGATGGGGTTCTAGAACTTCGTGGATATAACGCTGCGCGTTCATGTTACCTCTGATGAAGGTTAAAGGTGACCTGGAACCATAAGCTATAGCACCCCAAACCATAACTCCGACAGTGTGATGAACGTCTTTCAACAAAAAACTGTGGATTCCTCCTTTCACCACGTCGCCTTCTAACCCTGCCACTACCATCGTGCATGCCTAAACAAAATCGAGACTCGTCACTAAAGACAATACTGTTCCATTCCTGATCCCAGAGTGACCGTTATCTGCACCACTCAAGGCGATTACGTACGGCCTTCTCGAAGCCATGCCTGACAACACCTAACCACAGTGTCTACACTTCTTTGCACTCTAACTGTAATTGCCCGAAAAGAAAATCCAGCTTCCCGAAGTCGCACTATACGGCCCCTATCAAACTCACTAAGTTGGCGAAATCATACAGGTCTCCGTACTCTAGGCATCGTAACCGATCGTAAAGGATGTCAAGAACCAAAATCCGCCAACGTTGATTCTTTACTGCGGCTGAAATATTCATTTTTAGAGCGTTAGTGAATTAACAAAAAGCAGTATAAAAACCGGAATGTCCAACTGATAAGGCTGAAAATTTTTTCACTTGTTATCTACAGTAAGATACATTCACCAACTTTTATTAAAATAAAACCATTTAAACTGGGTGTTCGGATTTATATGTCACTTAGTATATGTACATAGTCGTTCTTTCGATGCATTATAATAGTTGTGCTCCATGCTCATTTGCTGCTAATTTTCAATTATTGCTATATGACTGCATACCTACATCTTGAAAATACACTACATTATATATATATATAATAACAATAAACGTCTTTATTTCCAAATAGACTGATTAGATAAAAAATAGCCAAATACGGGCGAAGTTCAGCTGTAGCTGCTCTTCCACTTAACCCGCTATAAAAAAGTCTGTCCAAAAGGTGAGTGAGACCTACTTATTCTACACATTACAATTACTAAATGTATATGCAGTGCTTACATACATCTACTATAAAAGAATCATAAACTTGTATCAATTGTTTTCCCTGAAACATGGTTACTACTGCTGGGATAAGAGATATTTTTTTAATTGAGTTTTGAAGTTTTGAAACTTGAGATGCTCAGATGTCATATTGTACCGGAAGGGTGTTATAAATGAAACAAATTTGGTAGCTGAACGATCGTTCAAATTGGGCTGTTCGGAATATCGGCGGTGTCAGCAACCCCCTGGATCTTATATTGATGTTATGCACATCTGTTCGAAATGTAACTTTTTCAAATAAGTAAGGGGGTCTTATACAAAATTATTTTATGATATAATGTTGCGGCATGCAAAAATCTTCTTGTTTCCATGTTCAACCAATTCGCATCTTTCACTTATGGGATATTCGGTCTCGTCTTCTGATGCCATATATTAATCTGAGGCAAAATTCTGCGCAACCTGAATTTTTTGTTTGTAAGTGGCAGTTAAGCATGGGCCATACAACATATCAGAAAAATTGAAGTGCGAGAGCACCAACGACTCACATAGATTTATTTTGACTTTAACGGGAAGGTTACGTCTGTTGCCGTACAATATTTTTAAAGAGGAATATGCTTACGAATGAGCGAATTTACATGTTTTTCAAATCTTAAATTTACATCCATGTTATACCCAGTTCTTTGCTTCCTGACAGTTTCAAGTTGTTGTGCATTGATGGTAAAGTTAATTGAGTTAGTAACAGCCTGGCGCGCATGCTTTGGCCCAAATACAATTACTTTAGATTTGCTAGAGTTAAGATGTAAAAATGTTCTTCGGCATTCTTTGTCAATAATGATAAATCTCTGTTGATGGTTGCACTCAATGTCCACATCACTGGGTAGAAAACTATGATACAGCTGAGTGTCATCAGCATAGCAGTGCATTTTGCAAGTATTTAAGCCTTTGCCCAGGTATGAAGTATAAATTGCAAAAAGGAGTGGACCCATAATAGAGCCTTGCGGCACGCCTGATTTTAAGGCTAACACGTAGAATAACTTCCCTCCAAAAAACCTTTTGCTTTCTGCTCTTTAGATACTTACTGAAAAAGTTGACACTATCCGAATCGAGGCCTATAAAATGCATATTTAGGAGTAAATTAAAATTGATCGTATCGAAAGCTCGACTAAAATCCAACATTATCAAACTGTACACCTTCCCTGATCAGTGGCTCTGATAATTATCTGTTACATGTAGAAGTGCAGTTGTACAGCTAAAATTCTTTCTAAAACCAGATTGAATTGGAGAAAGCAAAGAAAACTTTGATAATGTTCCATAATTGCAACTCAACCGCTTTTTCTAATAATTTTGACAATGCTGGTAAGATGCTTATTCTCTGAGGTGATTAAAATCTGAAGGATTTAGCTTTTTGGGAGTTACTTTTACAACTGCACCCCCATGCTTCTGGAAAAACATTTTGAATCAAACAACAATTTATTATATGCCTGATATAAGGAATAACATGTGGACAGCAAAGTTTTATTAGAAAGATACCCAAGCCATCACAGCCTGCAGCATTTGTTTTAATACCAGAGATAGCTTGATATATGAATATTTCATCAATTTCTAAATTTGAATTTGGAGTTTGTCAGACAGTTATTTTTGTAAAAATTTATTAAGGAATCTGGAGGTTCACTTGGGGAGATGGAATTTATAAAAAAATCATTCAGAAGGTTCACATCCATTAGGTTAGGGGGCAATGAGTTACTAAAGTTATTTTTTACATCTTGTTTTGTTTTAATATCCTCCACATTTGCTGAGAGAACTGCTGTAAGAACTTATGCAAGAAACTACGCTCTTTTCTCTCTTCCAATAGCGCTAGTGACATAATTCTTTAAATCTTTATAATACTGTAAGTGCGCATGAGTACCTGATCGTTTATAACTTTTAAGTGCTTCATCACGGAGCTGCTGCATTTGTTTGATTGTATCAGTCATCCATGGCGCCCTACCTTTTGTAACGCGTTTTCTAACTAAAGGGGCATGTCTGTCGAATAATTCAACTAAGCAGTTAGTGAAAAAGGCTATTTTCGTATCAATGCTGTCTTGGTCGAACATTTGGAAAAAAGATATACCACGGAGATCATTCAGAAAATGTTCCTCATTGAAAAACTGAAAACTTCTATAAGTGATAAATTTTTCTTTTGAATGTGGATTACAAACTGACATTTTACAAAAAACCAAAAAGTGATCTGATACCTGGCCAACATCAATTATTCCTTTGTCTAAAACAAGTTCCCCGGTAATAAGATAAGATCCAAGAGCGTTGCTGAAACACCCGATATTCGCGTTGGTCCTTCAATAATTTGTGTTAGCTCGAATACCTCTAAAACAGAATAAAAGTTATTAACAGCACTATTCAAGTAAAACAAATATATTAAAATCTCCCGCTATTATAACATCATCCACAGTAGGATATATCAAACTCAAAGCTGTCTCAAATTCGTTCAAAAAGTTATTTATTTCGACATATGGAGGCTTATAAACAACACCAATCGCAAAACGTTTATTATTCAACTTAACAGTAATCCACAATTGCTCACTAAATAACTTTTCTTCAATTTGCATCAATTCACTATTAATGGTATGCTTTACATATATGAGTAATCCACCACCCCTAGTATGTCGATCAATTCTGTATAAACTAAAATTATGAATGTGCACCGCATCATCATCAATTCCAGCATGTAACCAAGTCTCACAAATTAAAAAAATATCAAAAGAGTGCTCAGTGATTAGAGATCGAACATTAGATATAGATGGTAACAACGATCGAACGTTTAAGCTACCTATGTTTATATTTTGCATGGTTATCGAAAAGAAGCCAACCAGTTATAGCGCCTACTCAAAATAAGATAGATACAAGATAGTAGATAAAAATAATAATATATATATATATATATATATATATATATATATATATATATATATATATATATATATATATATATATTTTCTAGTGGTATTAGGCGAGAGAAAAAAGCCTACCTCGATTATGTTATGAGACATAAAAATTCGAAGACTACATGGAATATACTTAGATCTTTGAATATCGTTAAACATAACTCCATAAGTCTACCTCCACATCTTCAGGATCTCGATTCATTAAATAGTGCTTTTTTAAACGTACCTCAAACAACCAAATCATTAACTCAATTGAACCTTTTAGACAAATATGAAAACGTCAAGAATAGTGGTACTTTTCTGTTCACGACAGTTTCCCCTGCCACTGTAGAGAAATTTATTGATCGCATCAAAAGTCATGCTAAAGGCTCAGATGGCATCACAATTGATATGATCCGTATAATACATAAGCATTTGCTCAAGTATATTACCTTCATTATTAACTTTTGTATAACAAATAATCTTTATCCCTCTTCCTGGAAGAATGCTCTTGTTCTCCCTCTGCCTAAATCTAATTATCCTTCAAGTTTTTCTGATCTTCGTCCTATAAGCATTTTACCAAGTTTATCTAAGCTTTTGGAAATGGCTCTACATGAGCAGCTGCACACATTTGTTTGTCAAAATAATTTACTGACCACCTCCCAATCTGGATTCAGACCATTACATAGCACCACCACTGCGCTCCTGTCTATATCGGATAATATTTATAGCGCGGTTGATCAAGGAAAGCTGTCCTGCTAGTTCTTCTTGATTTTAGCAAGGCCTTCGATACGGTTGACCCAAATATTCTCTGTAAAAAGCTTAGATACTTTGGCCTGTCATCATCGGCTTGCACGCTGATTAAGAGCTTTTTAACTGATCGCTCACAGTCAGTCATATATGAAAACAATATATCAACTTCTTTATTCAGAAATTTTGGTGTCCCTCAAGGATGTATTTTGAGTCCCCTTTTATTTGCTCTTTATATATGTGATTTTCATGAAACCGCCAGCAACTCAATCGTTCATCATTACGCCGATGATACCCAACTTTATAACTGCTTCGATCCTGATGAATATATGCTTGGCCAACATCAAATAAATCAAGACCTGCAGTCTATTTTTGACATATCTAGTGCTCACAATCTAAAACTAAATCCTGGCAAATCATGCTGCATTTTATTTGGGCCCAAAAAGAATCGTGAAATAAATCAATATCGCATTAATATTATGGTGAATAATGAAGACATATGCTTCGTAAACGAATCCAAAAACCTTGGTATCTGGTTTGACTGCAAGCTACGCTTCACTAAACATGTTAACCAACTATGCAATGCGTCCTATAATGTGCTTCGTCAGTTATATCCGAGTCGAAGTGTCCTGTCGACACAGCTCAAGCTTAAACTCTGCGAGTCCCTTATCCAGTCAAAATTATCTTACGGTGACTCTGTTTATGGACCTGCTCTTTTACAACGTGATGCCGAGCGGATTCAGATGATACAAAACTCATGCATCAGATTTTCTTATGGAATCCGTAAATTTGATCATATTAGTAGCGCTTTTGACCAATCGGGATGGTTTAAGATGAACAAATTGAGGAAACTGCATTGCCTATCTCTGGTACATAAGACCCTTATCCTTAAAGCGCCATATTATCTTTATACAAAACTAAGCCTCCTCTGCCAGTGCGATCAAAGATCCTCTAGGAATAAACTCATCTTACTTATCCCGCGGCATTCGACAGCATTGTTCACACGCAGTTTCTCGTACTGGGCACCCAAACTATATAACTGCTTATCAAGTGAGTATAAAGAATATAGCCTAAGCAATTTTAAAAAAAGGTTAAAGATGAGTTTAAAGCAGTCGGATGGCTAAAATTTTACTTTATGCATATCCACAGGTAATTGATTGTTTCCTTTCTCTGATAAGTGTTATATTCTAAGTTTTTTTTTCTCTCTCTCTCTATAGTTTGTGTCAATGTTTTCCAGGTCGGGTTGAAAAACAGCATAAGCTGACACTCCACCTTTTCGTCACTGTTCCTTTTAAACCAATTATTTTGTAATCGTGTGACGAATAAAGGCCATTTATTATTATTATTATTTATTATATATACTATATATACTTCGAAGTTGAGTCATTTATTTTAACAGTGAGTAGATCTGATCAAAAGAAATGTTTTTTTCCTTTACCATTTTTCTGGTAAAATTAAAGTAACAAAGTTATAGCCCTTTGGAAGTTTGAGTACCGCCCTGTCTCAATAATAATATCATGTGCTGGTGTTTGGCAACAACGGATATGTATAATCCGCCTCGGCTCATCGCATCGGAAACAAAAAAGCGAAAGAATTTGGAACGATGTTTTACAATTATGTTATTCAGTTCAGTTATACATACAGTCAGTGTCAGTCGGTTAGCGTGTGAATAGTGTCTGTTGCGTATATACATATACATACATATACACATATATGTAGGTTACTAGAATTAAATGAATGTTGTAATCTGCAAAAAGTTGTTGGTCTCAAAAAAAATTAGTACGAAAGAAAGTAAGAAAAAAAAACGGATTCCACGTCAAAGTGGGAGCTCAATTGCACGAGTGTTGTGCTGCAGATTAAAATGGATATATAATCATCTTAATGAGAAAAAGATAAACTGTTAGCAATACATAAATGAGAACAACTAAAACTATTCCTACTTGCTCAGAATCAAAATAGAGGATGACGTCATGACGCCGTATTGATTCATAAGAACATAAACGAGAAGAAATGTCGAGTGATCAAAATAATTGGGAAACAAATTATTAGGTATAAACAAAAAAGTGGATAACTATATATTCAGGCCACAAAATAGTGTTTTTATTATGGGATATCATCCTCTATTCATTACTGTAAAAACTTAAAAATCATGAATAAAAAATCAACAATAGCGACAGAATCAGGCAGAACGTAGCCTTCAAGAATAAAAAAAATCTAATCTAGTACAAACTTTCTTTTGCAAAAAAAACGGTTGCATTATCATCTCAATATGAATGAACAAAACGGACCTCACAATTTTGCAATATCACTGAGCTTCTCTATCTTCACAGTTCTGCCTTCTCCATCATATTTGCAGAATATTGTGCCGTTTGTCGTCCAGACTCTACCATTCCTTCCCATTTTCGTGATTTCATCCTTCAGTAGCTTCAATTTATATTGAGTCAAGTCCTCCCGGATGACCATTCCATGATTTTAAGAGCCTTTTATTATCATAGGCGAGCTGTTTATAATACATTGAACTAAATTTAAGTACTATCGGCCTTTTCTTATCTCGTTCATATTACCCTATTCTAATGCAGCATTCAATTGCTGGTCGTTCTACGTTTATTTTCATTTTATCCCTGAGGATTAGGAGGATCCTATGCAGACAATCTTCACTTTGGTCCTCAGAAACACCATAAATGCGCAAAGTCTTACGCTTGCAATACTGCTCTTGCTTATCTTGATTTGAGATTATTTTCTCAATCGCCTCTCCGTGAGTTTTGAGCTGTGAGGCAACTTCTTTGTTTCGTTGCTTTAAAGAATCAATATCCTTTTTCACTTGTTCACTTATTACCTTCGTGATTGAGGTAGCAATCTGACCAATAAAATCTTCAGATGAGCAAATCTTCGAGACTAAATCCTTGACAGTTACGAGCAATTCATCCTCGCCTCGCCTGTTACCTTGCCTGGTATTGCTCATAATGGAAAAAAAATAAATTCAGATTATACTATTAAGCAATGCACCAATCACAATAGCACTATAACTGCTCAGTAGGCAATCACTAGCACAAACCACTTGGAAAGAATCAAAAGTATAATAGCACAATTTCTCATCAGAAATTCAATTTTTGCAGCAGCACAACAAACGCGCGTCTACTCCATAGCGTGGTCGATAGACTATTCCAATGTTATATTATGTAACTATTTGTAATTATAATTGTTTTCGTTACAGGCACAACTTATATGCGACCAAGATTTGAAAATTATCAGTATGTTTGCCGGCTATCCGGACTCTGTATATGATGCTAAGGTATTTAGAACGTCTATTTTTCAAACACTGGAGCAGAGGTGTGGTGCCGACCACATTCTTGGAGATAGTGCATACCTCTTGTTACCCAACCTCTTAAATCCATTCCAAGACAGGTGCCAGTTATCATCCAGGCAACTGAACTATAATAGAAAACATTCTTCATATCGTATTCTAGCAGAGCACTGCAATGGCCTTTTGAAACAAAAATGGAGGCAACTCTACCACGCTAAGCTAAGAAGCATCAGGCAGACAGTGCATTTCATATGCGCATGCTGCGTTTTACACAACTTGTCAATAGCTGATAATTTTGCAGCGGAGCACACTGAAGATGATGGGACAATAATCACTTGCACATTCATCCATCAGAGCTGAGTGGTATGGAAGAGGATAGTAATGGCGCTCAAAAAAGGAACTATATTGTTACTCTGTTATAATCATTTATATACTCGACTATAAGTTCAAGTTTTGCATAGGACTATATGTCTAATACAACAATTCTGTTTGTGTTCAATATTCTATTTACTGGAATTGTAATACCAGAAATGCAATCTCTAGACTATGAAAACAGTGTGAAAAATCTGAACAATAGAGAACAGAACTTTCAAGAGCCGATACGATTTTTTTGGGTTTTCTAAAATGTTGGTTATAGTTACAGAATGCGAAATTACTCTATCTAACTTTATTCCTAGCTGTGTTGCAACTTTTCATGTTGATCAACTTTGCCATCTTAGCTTTTTATATTTATCCGTATTTCTGCTTGTGATTTGCCTCAAAGGTAAAAACAGTACTTGACTTGATGATCTCCCCCTTAAGAGTTTCTGTATTTTCCTAGTCTTAGTTCATTTTGTCCAATGTGAGAACTCTTTGAAAACTTTCAGCTATGTAAGCAGATTTTGGTAATTGCAGGTATGTTCAGTCGTTAGCTTTTTAGAGTATGTATGTTCACTCTTTGTTATTAAATACATTATTAAATCTTTTTAGTGTTTTTAGTACTTTCTTCCAATATAGCAAAAATATCCCACCTCACCATCATTGTTGTGTAAGCGCACCCGACTATTTTTAAGAAAATATATTTGCGGCTTGTGAAGTTTAGTGCTGTGATCAAAATGATGTAGCAGTTGCCAAAAAATCAGTGGTGAACTATAAGGACATACTTACGAGTAAGTAAGGTGATTTAGAGGTGCCTACCTCCAAGCTTACGTCACGCAATTGTGGAGTAAACTCATCCAGTCTTATGGTGAGCCTTATGTCGTTGCTCTTGACATCACTAAAGCGTTCGATCAGCCATCACACGCTGCCCTTTTGAGCAAACTTCCACCCTATGGCCTCCCAGAAATGTTTTCCAGATGGGTTACTGACTTTGTTTCTGGCCGCAAGATATCCGTCGTAATTGACGGGTTCTCCTCTTCATCCCACAACGTCAACGGGGGTGATCCCCATGGATCGGTCTTGGCTCCTACACTGTTCCTCTTACATACCAACGACCTCCTTTAATGCACGATCAACCCAAACCACAGTTTCGCTAATCACAGCACTCTACATGCAGAAATTCAAAGTGACAGCCGATCTCTGCCGCTGAGCTGGAAAATAGAAGACTAGCGACGACTCCCTTTCTGACGAGAGACCTGGAGGTTATCACCGTTTGGGGACGCAACAATTTTGTACAGTTTAATGCTTTGACGAACAAAAAGATTCCAAAATCTTATCCGGTTTCGATGGATGGCCGAGCTCTACCAAAGAGCCATTCACTTCGGCAGGTCGGAGTCCAGACCACCGAGGACCTGGTCAGGCACGAACTCATCTCGCCAAGAGCAGCAGCTGCTGGGAAAAAGTTAGGCTATTTGTTTAGAGCTCAGAAGTATTTTTCTCCCCATGACCTTCTCACTCTATACAAGGCCCAGATAAGGCCTAGTCTCGAGTATTGCTCACACATTTGGGGTGCTGGCGCCCCGACTACATTATTTATGATCGATGCTGACCAGTGGAGAGCTGTCCGACTGATTGATAACTCTTCTCTAACAGACAGTCTCGGGACCCTTTCGCACAGACGGGCCGTCGGCGATCTAGCTCTCTCGTACCGCTACACCAACGCGCTTTGCTTCTCAGTATCTTTTTTTTGTTACCAACAATGAAGTTTTTTATGTTTTAATCTTCAATATTATTACACTAGCAATTATACATGCCATGTACTTATTTTATTCTCATTTAAGAAAATATTGCCTCTTTGAAGATTTCTGAGCATTTTCGATGTTTTTTTTTCAAGCTGGCCTTGACCAGATAGAACACAATGGATTAAAGGAGCAATAATAGGATAACTTCTAGAAGTTCCACTGAGGTTAAAAAATGACCAGCCCAAATATCGTTTGCGCCCCCCACCATCCCCCCCCCAAGACGAAATCCTGAATGCGCCCTTGAATGGGTGCGAGTTACAGAACTTGTAGGCACCTTTCACATCCATTTTTATTGCTTATACCATAAAATTTACTTTGCTTTCAATTTTCAGGTGACCTGCCGCCATTCTGTATGATTTTGCTTGCCATTGGTCAGGTGTATACGAGTGTATTACATTAGTTACTTTGACTAGGTCAGCCGGAGAAGACTTCGTACATGGAGATTTATCAAGAGCATTCTATTTGTCTTACTGTCATTTTCGAAAAGGTGCTCATAGCTCACCCGGGGAGACTGTAAAATCAAGGCATTTTACATAATGAAGAAGATATCAAAACATCTGTAAATGGACCGAACCATCCCAATCCAGTGCCGAGTGCTTGCAAGTTTTTGTTCCAGTCTGAACAAAAGAGGTGTTTTTCGACCCATGATTTACAGCCTTCTCTTGAGAATGGGGGAAGCACCGCATAGGGGCACATAAACACACAAAAATGGTGCTCGTAGAAGAAGAACATATGTTCGAATAGAGATGTAATAAAATGGTATAATCAACTGTGGTTGAGATTCAAAACATCAAGTAAATTGCAGCCGAGAGAGATTTTTTTGGTATAGCTTTCCTTATCCGTTGCGATGGTTCGTTCCACCTCTAGATGCTTTGACATCTTTTTTTATTAATAATCTGTCCTTATTTTCTTATGAAATGCACAAATGTGATTTCATGTTACACGATGTATGCACTTCTCAATCACATATACAATCGAAAGCAGAGCTTTCCTTTAGTTGTTTTATATCCTCTAAAAATAAGTTTTTAAAATTTGAATACCGGTACAATATACCCGACTTTTTCCTACTAAGAGTCAAGTATCTATATTTTGAGATTCCTAGATGCTCCTAACAAGACATCTGCGTCCTAGAAGACCAGCTGTCAGTTTTTTGATCGGCCTTACAATGAACTATTGGTTTTCCTGAACTGAACTGAAATGAAGATAAAGTTGAGTGTCACACTAAGAGGACGCGGATGGGGTGGATCACTCCGTGCCTCCAGTATAAGGCCTCCAAATGTTGAGAAAACCCTTTTATAATCATTAAATGAACATTCTTTATAATTGCTTAATGAAATGATACTGATACTGATGATACTTTAGCAGTAGCAAAAAACAATTGTTGGTAATCTACTATGAATTTAATAAAGAGCACGTGATACACGAAATGAAAATGTTGCTGTTTCTAGATGGAACGCCCAAGAAGTTCTTCAATTTATTATTAAATGGTACCCGTTGCCCTGTATATCATTGATATTATAATGTTTTTGACTATTTGCGTTTCATTAGCAATGTGAGGGAGGTTTTCCTGAGCTGAAGATTTTAAAAAAATATCTAATGTACAAATACATATACGGATACATTCTGTTAAAGAAACTATCATTTTATTGGAACTTATTGTTGTGTTGTTGATAGGAATCGAAGATTTTGTAAGAATAGTCCTTAATTGTGAACCTTTTCGTTTTAACGCATGTCATAATTACCACTATTTCATTCATCCTTCTAGGCTTGCAAAATTCTGTAGCCCACAACTATAATAAATTTAAGAATATAATTTTTTACCCATCATAGAATGATCAATTTTTTTCTTTTATTATAGCCGATACTTATATGACCATTCGGAGTAAAACAACTAAAAAATAGTAGTTTCCCTGTGAGCTTGTATTATAGTTTATAATAACTTCGGGAGCGACTCAAAGCCGCGTCAGTGTTCTTTAGTTTGGTGAGCGTAAGTGTTAGTA